GGTAGTGTACCTACTCTTGGGATAACGTGCTGATACATTCCGCGTTTAATAAACGTCTAAGTAAAATCAATGGGATCCTATTATTTGACGCTAAGTAATAATCGTAAAATAAATACATTTTAACGAGGCTGGTGATGTCTTTGGTCGTTTTCACATTACTATCGATGTCTCATAAATTATAAATTTTCTTAATATTAGTGGTAGTTATTTAGGTTTTTACGTGGTATAGCCATGCTGCAGCTATGTATATTAGTACTATAGTTGTAGCACGAATGGGTTGGCTCGACCGGGGAATGACCACGCTCTCACAGAATACCAGCCATTCCATCTTAGTCCTCAGGGGAGATAATGCGTCTGCATTTTAATTCTTGTTTTATTTGATTTGAAGACAAAGGGAGATATATAGGCCAAACAACCACATTATTAGAAGAACTGCGTTCTCGTTTGTCACCCATATTATATAAAAGAAAAGTAATAAGAAAGTGTTAATTTAACTTTTTAACTATTTTATAGGTACTGTTTTTTATTTATTATTGTATTAGTAAACTATCTTTCATTCACATATTGTAATTTCAATTAGCTAAATATTTTATTCTTTTATTAATTATTATATTATATTTATATTTCGTTAAACTTATTTATGTTTAAAATGTTGGAAACTAAAAAAAATAAGTTACTGCATATATTACCTACCTATACTGTTCTATAGAACAAATACTAAGTAGCAAAATGATATCTCGAAGTTAAAAATATTTAGCAAAGAATTCCTTATTACTACAGTTGTTTAAAATTGATTATATTATAATACGAAGGCTACACTGAAAGTTTTTTAGAACTGTCCACCTATAAACGTTATAATAAAAAAATAAAGTTTAAGTTTTGAAAATGGAACTCTTTGCTAACATTATTGTGTATGTATTTTATTAATTTGTCGTTTGTTTACGATTTGGCGGCAAATTGAAAATTGTCTGTATCACGTCAGCGTGAATTTGACCCGTGAAAATTTTCGTACAATGATTTTTTATGACTTTCGATGTCATTTAAGTCAACAAGAAAGTTATGATAGACTTTGATTAGCCTTTCACGATGAAGCCCCATCTCGTTCCACTGTTTACAACTGGTTTAATGAGTTTAAACGTGGTCGCACTAATCTCACCGACGATCTGCGTGAGGGATGGCCTTTTACAGCGACGACTGAAGATAACATCAGTGTTGTGCGGCGTATGATAGAGACTGACTAAAGAGTGACTTATCTGCAGATTCGGACAAACTTAGGCATCGGTATGACTCAAGTGCACAAAATCCTCCATGAACATTTAGCAGTCAGGAAGCTTTGTGCCCAGTGCATACCTCATAATTTGACAGAGGTAAAAAAATCCGTCATGTTGATTGGTGTCGTGAAATGGTTCAAAAATTTAACGGAGGTGACTCAAAGGCTGTGTTTGACATACTTACGGGTGACGAAATCTGGATTTATTGTTATGATTCTGAAACTGAGAGACAGTCAGCTGTCTGGGTGTTTCCTTCCGAGGAGTTGCCTACTAAAGTGGAAAGAGGTCGAAGCGTGGGAAAAAAGATGGTGGCCTCGTTCTTCGGGAAGACAGGTCATTACGCAACAATTGTTTTAGAAGATCTAAAAACAGTTACTGCAGAGTTGTATACTAACAATTGTTTGCAAAAGTTCGGGAGAAACGACCTCGCAGTAGGATCCTCCTTCACTACGACAACGCCTCGTCGCACACCGCCAAGCAAACAATCGAATACTTTTCGACGTCAGACGTGGAATTACTGGGTCACCCGCCCTGTAGCCCCGACTTCACACCTTGCGATTTTTATCTATTTCCGAAAATAAAAGAAAAACTTCGAGGAAAACGTTTTATGGACGCCGAGGAAACAGTGGCTGCGTTTCAAAATGCCGTTGAAGAGACCCCTAAGAACGAATGGGCAAAATGCTTTTCTGAGTGGTTCCATCGGATGCAGCGATGTATTGATGTAAATGGACACTATTTTGAAAAGATATAATAAAACTAATAACTTGTTTGCATGTTGCTTAGATTTTCTTTAAATATCCTTAAAAGTATTAATCGAGATTATTATCTTAATTTATTACATATTTTAAATGAAATGAACGCTTTTTATCACAACGTATAAACGGATATTAGGCAGACGTCTTCTTCTACGTCAAAGTTTTTTGAGTAAAAAAAGACATCTAAATTTTTTTAGTAAAACAACGACATAGCGATAAACACTATTACATAATTCATAAAGAATGCTATTTTAATGCTTCATAGAAAATATCATGTTAATCGGTCCATAACTCTCAAAATGACCACAATTTTTTACTAAATCTGCTCTCCTGTAAAACTGCGATTTTGTAGATGTCCGTTTTTACTTTGCTGCCATCGATATTCTCTTCGACAAATTGTACAGAAGACAGAATAGTATAACTAAGCCTTTCGTCTTGCGTATATGGACCCTATGATCCCGTCGAAATTAAGCTGACGCTACAGTCCCTTCAGCAGAGGTATATCGAAGTGCTGAAATGTGGTTACCGTGTATACAACAATACAGTAGTCATGGCTATCCGAGCCAATGACCAGAGTACGAAGCCTATCCAAATACGAGAGAGGTGACACATAAATCTGATATATTCTTTACAGCTGGCCGTATGTGGAAGTTTAAAATCAAGGCTTAAGGCTTTGGCATATGCCCGGATCGGATGTCTCTACGTGTTAGAATTCGTAATGAGGTTATCCACAGTAGAACTAGAATAGCTGACGAATAAGTAAGCTGAAGTGACAATAGACGCCGGCCCATTTTCCGCTTAAACTCGAGCCATAGTGCTCCAAGTACCAAAACTGATGAAAGAGAGAAAGAAAGAAACATTTATTGCAACACGCCACAAATATTAATATTTCTAGATAGTACAACATTAAAAAAGAACAATTTGACGGATATAATATTTAAAAAGTATGTTTATAAATTACAGTAAAAAAATACGTTCTTCATGTCGCGATGGGAAAGAATGGTTCTCAAGTCACACTAGGAGACACGTGTGAGTCACACTAGATACTCCACCCAGAGTTTGGAGTAGAGGTAATCAATGGATATAAGTGGCTCAGGACCGTGTTTTAGGATTCCTTACTAAGGTCTTAGTTCAGCGGTGTACTATTGTTAATACCGTGTACTCGTGTCAACAGTGTCAGTCTTAACGGAGATTAGCCATTTACGAAAGACAAACGAGCACACAGTGATGGTAAGTGAAAACTGTGGCCCGTAGACATCAAAATTACATAACCCATAGCCCATAGACATCCTTTAGTAAGAATCAAAATTCAGATGTGTTGTCACCCCTGAGGACTAAGATGGAATGCCTCGTTTGCAGTAGAAAGGGTCTCCGATTCTCTATACTCACCATACGAAACACAGCAACAATAAGCTGCTATATTACGCTGGTATTCTGTGAGAGCGTGGTCCTTCCCCAGTCGAGCCGACCCATTCGTGCTCCAACCGTAATATACTCGTAGCTGCATCGTGGCTCTACCACGTAATAAATGTTTTGATGATTGTTTGAATATAATACGTAAATTGTAAATTTATTAATGAATCCGATTTTTCATATTCTAAATTTCAAATAATTTCACGAATTTCAAGGTTCAAAGAGACAGTTTTCGAAGTTTTTAAAATGATGTGTATAACGTTACGTGTCTGTGTATGCCGCATATACAAATCGTATGTTGTAAAATTTTTCGTCTAGTCATAAATACTGAAAACAATGATACTGATTTAAGGCCAATTAATTCGATGCGTTATTGCATAATGAACCCATTTTTGAAACTTGTTTGACAAATTCTACTTAGCAATTTCCATAATATAACAAAAAACTCAATCACGAATAGGAGGTAGTGATTGATAGTGAGAAAAAAATCGATTTTAACTGTTTAAATGATGTTGAAATAAAACACATAATGAAAATAAAATAGAAATTTATTAAATATAATCAGGCGTAACATTGCGGATATCCATTATTTTGCACGATTGTGATAGCAAAATAATAATATGTTTTATTAAATTTTAACTTAAATCTAAACTCATTATGTAATACAAGGCACATATTGTATCTTACTCTAATATTTACAATCATTGCAGTAAAGTCTGCAACCGATATAAAACTAATGCGAGGTCTTTTATAAAATGTAAAAAAGTAAGTTATTTCGCATGAAATTTCTACATTTCATATAATTTATAGAACTTATTCTATTATAGCTTCTTCCATGTATATTTACATAATATTTGCAGCAGTTGCAGAATTCCAAATTCATGGTGTTAAATAACACAAAAATAAATTATTGATAACATCATCTTAGTCAAGAAAAAATTAAAGGTTTTTGGAAAGTTTAGTACGGTAGCCTAAAATTACCTTACATGAAAATTCAAATCAAAAGACAATTTAAAATGGTAATTACATTTTAAGATTCGTTCAAACTGAAGCAAATCCTTATAATGCGCAATTCACTCCCTCGCGGACAATTCAGACTCCCTATAGAAATATCGAGCCAAAAAGAGAAGTTTAAGGAAGCTCAAGTATTAAAATAATTTTTTTCTCTATTGAGTTAATCGAGAAAAAAATAATTTGTGAGAGAAACAATTGCGATGTATCCAATTTTAGCCAATAGCCAATTAGCCAAGTGCGGTGTGAACTTAGTTCGTGTGACCATTAGCGCCACACACACATTTTAACGCAGTTTTAAAGAGCTGTTTTAAAGCGCCATAAAAGTTTGGTAATGAAACCGATGCAAATTAATTATTCCTACATCCCGGTCGAGATTTGCTACAGTATGAACGAACTTTTATACCCATGCGTACATAATATTAAATCATTGATCATTTAACTCCATCTTTACATCTTTTAGCTAATACAACTACTACATACAACTTCATCAATTACAAACAAAGCAGTCTATTGTTTTAAAATTACACTTAATGATAAATACGTAGATTTAAATACTGAGCGACGGTCGTTTCTTTCGTACACTTTTGCTGTTTTTGCCGAATATCGTGCCGATGACCTGTTGAAAACAAAAACATTGGACATATTACGACGTGAAATATGGCTTCAGCACGTGATGGAATCCTGTTTTTAGAAAGCTTCCTACGCATCGGCTCCTGATTATTCAGACTAATTGAAAACACGTACCCTAGAGAATAATATTCCTTGTATTTAAAGAATAAAATACATATTTGTACAAGGATATAAAAAATAGCCGCATTTATGTTAGCAGCGTGCACTGAAAACGTCAATTAAAACTTGATATTTTTATAAAATAGTACATTTATTAATCAAATATCGCTTCAATAACCGACAAACTGTTTTCAAGCATTGTGTACTAAATTGACTTATTATTGTACGTTAAAATAGTAAAGAAGATAATTTAAAATTATTTATTTTTATAACCGACTTCAATATAAATTATTAAGAATAACTCAAAAACTATTAGTCAGACCTTGATCAAATTTATGTGGAATCACATGTAAAGCACCAGCTTTCAAATAAAAAAAGAATCATCAAAATCAGTTCACCCAGTAAAAAGTTATGAGACACTTAAAAAAACATACAGTCGAATTGAGTACCGTCTCCTTTTTGAAGTCGGTAGAAAATGGGTGTATTGAGTGTACAGCACAGGAACAGGTAATTCAAACGTTTAAAATATACAGCAACATTTATCTGAGCAATACTTGTTTAGTATAGGTTATTACTTATTATACTACTAAAGAGTATAAGTATAAGAGTGGATAATCACCCCTGGGAATGAGGAGATCGCTACCATGCTGTTTCAAAATGTTTTCATAACAATTGTAATAAATATTATATTGTAGGTTATGTTTTAAAAAAAAAGTCCCGCTGGGTTTCTTGCTGGTTCGCCCAGGATAGAGGCTTTTTTTCCGAACAAGTGGTAAAATTTAAAAATGACTTTCAATAAGATCTATATTGAATAAAAATGATTCTATTCTAGTAACATTTCGGCCCATTCGTCTTTTTTTTTCATTTTGGAAAAAAGATGTCCTATGAAAGGCGGGACCATGTCCTTTTTTGTTGCTTTACCTTTAGGTTAATCTAGCTTCCCATAAAAAGTATGGTTATAATACAGGTGACGAGAACAGCAGCGTGTGGAACGCAATAGTGTTTACGGAGTGTGACGTACCTTGGAGACGGAGTAGGCAGCGAGCTTGCGGCGCGGTGCGGGCAGCAGCAGCGCCAGCGCGCGCGCCTCCCGCAGCAGCGCGTGGAACGCAATAGTGTTGTACGGAGTGTGACGTACCTTGGAGACGGAGTAGGCAGCGAGCTTGCGGCGCGGTGCGGGCAGCAGCAGCGCCAGCGCGCGCGCCTCCCGCAGCAGCGCGTGGAACGCAATAGTGTTGTACGGAGTGTGACGTACCTTGGAGACGGAGTAGGCAGCGAGCTTGCGGCGCGGTGCGGGCAGCAGCAGCGCCAGCGCGCGCGCCTCCCGCAGCAGCGCGTGGAACGCAATAGTGTTGTACGGAGTGTGACGTACCTTGGAGACGGAGTAGGCAGCGAGCTTGCGGCGCGGTGCGGGCAGCAGCAGCGCCAGCGCGCGCGCCTCCCGCAGCAGCGCGTGGAACGCAATAGTGTTGTACGGAGTGTGACGTACCTTGGAGACGGAGTAGGCAGCGAGCTTGCGGCGCGGTGCGGGCAGCAGCAGCGCCAGCGCGCGCGCCTCCCGCAGCAGCGCGTGGAACGCAATAGTGTTGTACGGAGTGTGACGTACCTTGGAGACGGAGTAGGCAGCGAGCTTGCGGCGCGGTGCGGGCAGCAGCAGCGCCAGCGCGCGCGCCTCCCGCAGCAGCGCGTGGAACGCAATAGTGTTGTACGGAGTGTGACGTACCTTGGAGACGGAGTAGGCAGCGAGCTTGCGGCGCGGTGCGGGCAGCAGCAGCGCCAGCGCGCGCGCCTCCCGCAGCAGCGCGTGGAACGCCAGCGCCGCGCCCGCGCTCGACTCCGCCGCCGACACCTCGTAGAACTGGCACCCGAACCGCAGCGACAGCTCCTGACCCTCCTCTGCATGGACCTCCCTAACGCAAATAATTATGTTGAACTTCTCTCGTCTCTCTGTTTGGCTAAGTGAATGTAATAGATTCAATTCAAATAAGCGCGACAGTATACCTGGCGTGTTCGAGGTCTCTTTTATTCCCTAAGAGGGTTATAGCTGCGCAGCCCGGTAGCCGGCTTCGAACGAGCAGCGAGAGGATCTCCGCGGCCGCCAGAAACGAGCGTCTCTCGCACACAGAGTACACAACCGCAAACGCATCGCCCCACCGCACGTGGTCACCTATGCAGCCGCGAATCTAATCAAGAAAATAAAGTATTCATAAAAATCTTGTTCTTTATTAGTACTTAAAAACAGTATTTTCTAATATTTTTAATGTATGTTATAATATGTACTGATTCATCTCTAGAATAGAACACCTGTTAAAATGATTTTCACAGAACTATACGGTAGCAAAATGTTACGTTACTTAGGGAAATTTATGGCTTTATTTTAAGGTAGCTTAGCTAAGATAGAAATAAATGAAAGAAATTTATAATATGTAAATTTATAAATTTACATTCACTCAAATTAAAAATAAACACGTATACAGCCATTGCATATGTTTTGTTCCACAACTGTGCAGTACACCGAGCCAAATGATTGCGCAGTATCAAACATCGACAGCATTGGTTAAATAAGCTGTCGTTAAGATGAAAACAAAACACGTTTGGTCCAATGTTCATAACAATGACTAAGTATTTCATTTGTTAAGATATTACGCAACCACGCCCAATCGCTCGTACAAATTTTACATAGCATTTTGTTGTAAAGGCAAGCCATGTCGGCTTGGTATGACGATGGTATCTTATGTTGATGGTACGGAGCTCGTAATTCTTTAGTAATTAAATTGTTCGGCGTACGTCAATGAACTGACAAGCAGCCCATCACCGATTATTATCTCTTTTGTTTTATCTCAAATTGACTTTTGTCCTATCTTCCCTTTACACTCTTTACGAGAAAGAAAACTTCGTTTATGTACATAATCATATACTGTTATATACAGGTGGCTCTTCACAAATCCATTGCTGAATATAGGAATGCACCTAATATTATCACAAACCACGATCCTGAGCCACCTGCATCCACCGACTTTTGCATGTCTTACTACTTCGTCTCTCCATCCAGCAGGGGACCGTCATACACACTACTTGCCGATACAAAGCTGTTACTCCAGAACATTTCCTTCCCTTTGGGTATTGGTGAGTAATATGGTCGGTCCAATGTCACTTCAGGTTAGTGATCCATTAGGTTATAATTTAATGTTGCATAGAACAACAACCGCTTATTTAAGAATATGTCATTCAAATTTTATCTTTTTTTCCGTTCGTATATCAATTGTGTACGTAACATATAATGCAAAAGCCAAACCATTTAGTCGTGGTAGAGCCATGTTGCAGCTATATTAATTAGTAGTATAGCTGTAGCACGAATGGGTTGGCTGGACTAGGGAATACCAGCGTAAAATAGCAGTTCAACGCTGCTGTGTTTCGTATGGTGAGTATAGAGAACCGGAGATCCATTTTACTGGAAACGAGGCATTCCATCTTAGTCCTAACGGGTGACAACGCATCTGCACTTTGGTTCATAATCGAGGATAGATGTAGATGTCTATGGGCTACAGAAACCACTTACCATACCACAGGTGGGCTGTGTGCTCGTTTGTCACCTTTATCCTAAAAAAAAAACCATACACACTCGCAGTAAATATAAAACTTTTATTGATCAAAAAAGCCTAAACTAAAAGAAATTGAGAAAGGGATGATATCTTCATTAATTAATTCATTCATTGCAGCTTTCCGAAATCCCACAGCTGAATATAGAATTTTGCCACAGTTGCAACGCTTGGCAGGTGAGTTAGCAACCGTAGTTTTTTTTATTCTATCTTCGATTCTTATTATTATCAGGAATATGCTATGTGGCCTCTTACGACACTTACGGGATGATATGGAGTAGCAGACATTCTTACGCCCGCTCCAGTCAGTTAAATGAACGCAAATATTTCTAAGGAAAATAGTCTAAGGCGCAATTACTAACATTCGTCATACAGAGTGTAACACCCATCATATAGATATATAACACAACCTTACTGAAAACTATAAAAGATAGAATAATTTGGATAATTGTCAAATATTAATTTTTTGTATCTTTTTATAATATTATGCAAGAATATAATCTCACCGCGCAATTTGATGTGTCGAGTATTTCAACTTCTGAGACGGCACCGTCAAAAGCAACTCTATGTTGATAGAGGAAATCTGAAACAAAACAGATTAATTAATTAAAAAAAAATTGGTAATACCAATTGGGCATTAAAAAAAATTACGTATAACATGATTATACGGAATTTATTTTATTTTATCGGCTTCAACTCTCTCGAAAACCATGGAAATGGCACCCAAGATGAAAAAATTTATATCTATTGCTACCGTCATCTTGGATTTACATTTCAACAGCACTATCGGCTTCAACACCCTCGAAAACCATGAAAATGACACCCATGATGAAAAAATTGATACCTATTGCAGCCGACAACTTGGGTTTACATTTCGACAACCCTATCGGCTTCAACACCCTCGAAAACCATGAAAATGACACACATGACAAAAAAATTGATACTAACTACTTTCAGTACGTACTACTATTATTTATTCTGTGCTTTGAAAATATTGCAAAAAAAATCTCTCATTATTATTATAATCAGGTAATTATTTAAGAAATTTGGTTATTCGAATATTGTGTATTGTGGTTAGCGATCTTTTTGAGCCGCTGCAAACAACCGAAACAATGTCCACTCACGACGACGACTAACGCCGAACTGAGTGACGCTGTGACGCAGTCTCTACTCTCTATTCTATTTAGTAATAATTTTTCATACAAGGCTGCTGAATACACCGAAAATTTCGCCATTTCGCAGGCGAAAAAAATTTATTATAACTAAACTAAACTAAATTAAACTGCCATTTACATTCAATGGCTTCCCAAATGATAGATGAAGAGTTTTAAAAATATATTGAGTTGAACAATTAATATTTTGCAAAAGTTATCGTGTTTACAAGCCTTGTGGACTTGATAAATCTACAACATAAGCCACGAAAACCTCTTTTTTATTTAAAAATAGCAATTAATCGATTAAAAAAAAATTAATAAGTTCAACAATCATTTATCTTTCTGACAATGTGCTTTTTATGTACAATATGATTGCTAGATATACGACGCGCTTAGGCGCTTACGGCATGCAAAATACTCAACAATAATATCACAGAATAGGCACTGACTGAGTAATGAAAAATAACACTTTTCTTAAATATTCACTAAAACCAGATATGTCTAGAAACTTAGAATAATGATTCTCAGTACTTGACAGAGACTACATAAATCAAATGAAGGAAAGCAATAACTTTATTTTGTGATACTATACTTATTTTAATTGCAAGAAATTTTAAAGTAATATTAATGTACTACAAAAAAACAACCATCAAAAGTCTGATGCTTACACGATTCTTGTTTAAGGTCGGAAGTAAGGAGACAATTTAATTTTAGCGTGCGTTAAGAAGCTATCCTGTATGGTCAAATGGGCATTAATAGCATAAATTAAGCCGCTCGTTTAAACTCCATGGACTCGAAGTCAATAATCGACCGAATTTTTATTATTTTAATGCTATATTACAAAAGCTTTACTGTGTGATTAGTACTTCCATCGGAACGTAATGTCCGGTTCCCTATATCTCGTTATGTATGAGCATTATAATTCAAGATATGAGGTGTATAATAAACGAGTTTTATAAAAAGCTGATTCATCTATCAGGCGAAAAGGAATAAATTAACATATAAGGCGAATATATATGTACATAAATAGGTTATTATGGTGATGATACTGATAATAAATTAATAGCAACTTTACTTATACTGGTGGTACTTTTACGTGGTAGAGCCATGCTGCAGCTATATTAATAGTATAGTTGTAGCACGAATGGGTCGTCTCGACCGGGGAAGGACCACGCTCTCACAGAATACCAGCGTAAATTAGCAGCTTAATGCTGCTGTGTTTCGTATGGTGAGTGTAAAGAACCGAAGACCCATTTTACTGGAAAAGAGGCATTCTATCTTAGTCCTCACGGCTGACAACGCACTTGCATTTTAATTCGCAAACGAAGATAGACGTAGATGTCTATGGGCGACAGTAACCTTTTACCATCAGGTGGACTGTGTGCTCGTTTGTCACCCTTATTCTATAAAAAATACTGTTCATATTTGCCAGTTCTATTAAATCTTAAAATGACCTGTCATATAACTCCAAACACTGACGTCTACACTTCCCTTTATCAATAATAAGAATGCAACTTCTCGGACACGGAATTCGTAAGTACATTTAGTTGGAGTTATTTTGAGAATATAAATAATATTAAAGCTTAAAAAAACTTGAACATCACGCATTTATCATGCGCTGTGATGGTCTTCGTAGAATTGCTAGGTCTAACTCACGAAGTTTTGGTTTGTCATCCGTACTCAATACGTCTTTTTACGTCGTTTTTGCTTATTCAGACGTCTAGAAGTAGATAAAATTAATTATAAAATTCAATAACATTCATACATACGAGATACATACAGGTCAAAATAATGAAAAGCATATAAAATAATGTATATAAAAACAACAAACATGATTTAAATAAAACTATATAAATTAAGAGTCCAATCAGTAACTGTGACCACGTACATGGTGATAAATCAGTTATATACAGAATTCTTTAACTGATATCCCTCCTTGTCGAACCATTTATAGGATATTTATCTCTTAAGTACTTTATATTTTTACTTTTTTAGATTATATACTATATATAGTATATAATCTTTTGACTATACATAACTCTCATATTAAGTGCTTTCTTATTGATCCGAGATTTGAACTCTGAATGTATATATATATATATATATACGTATTGAAAAACAATTTTATAAGGATTGCGAGACGTGCGAGACTCATTGCACTTTTTGTAAAACTATTTCAGCTGCGATAGCCAAGTTCACATTCTACAGTCGACAACGCTAATCGAAAACTATAAAAATGAGTGAGATCAACGTTAATTCACGTGACCTAACGTTGAGATATGTCGGTCATATAATATTATTGTAACTAAACAATAATACTCTATGACCGACATATTATTGTAACTGTACAATAACACTATATATCCGATATATCTACTAAGATCATTCCCATTAATTTTTACAGTTTTCTATTCGCGTTAACAATTGTAGAAAGACTATAATCTATACAATCTGTAGAAAAGTCGTGTCTGTACTTCTAATATTTTCTAGAAAAAACAATTCTAGAGGACTAAATAAAGGGCACTGAAAGCCAAATTAGAGGGTTTTAGAATTTTTGTCTGTCTGTCATCTGTCTGTCTGTGTATTCCCGATTCACGCTAAACTACTGGACAGATTTTCATGAAATTTTGTGTGTGGGTAGCTAGAGACCCGGGGCAACTTATTGGTTTTTTATCCGATTACGGAACTTTAAAAAAGGAGGGTTTTTATTTAATATTATTGATGTATTTTTAAATAACATATTTAAAATTAAAGGCTAAAATTAGATTTGACCGTTTTGTAATAATTTGATCTGGCCGACAATCTAGTTTCACTTTTTTAAGAACGGTGCCATCTAACGTGAAATTCAAAAAGTATTAACATTTTACCTATAGGTAATAATAAATAAAATAAAATAAATAATTTATATTTTATATGTTTAAATAATTAAATTCATAATTATTTGAAAATTCTAATGTTCATTTTTTAGTTCTTTCGTTATTTCATTGTAGTAGGAATTAATAAAGTTTTTAGTAACTAATTACTACTTACATAGATAATAGTGACATCTATCAAACATCATAAAATCTGAGATGTTTCTAAGTTTCATTTCAAATCTATAAAAAAGTTTTAGTGCGCATTGGTTTTGTTTATCTAGTAAAGTTAAAATGAACTACATAAAATCCGTAAAAATCATTTAATATAAATAATCTGATAAAAACTGTAATTATTGCAAAACTCTCACTTTCCATAAGTTTAAATAATGAGATTTCTATATAACATAGATTAATAATAGGTCATCGCGCACTCTGACTAAATACCGCACTACTTGAAAATGATAGCTCCGTGAATGCGGCATCTCAATATTGTAGTGTGTACAAGATAATCGCAAGGATACTAGTGTGTGTGAAAAATTGTATATTATGCCAGCAGCTTAACTATTACCCGTTTAACGGGAAAATTTATTTTAAGCCATACTTAGCACTTAAGTTCATAGTTATGAATGTAGACAAGAAATACTTAAAAATGAATAATATATTAATAGCGAATGTATCAATATATTTGTGTATATTATGTATAGGTTTTTCTTCTGAATAAATGACATATAAATGATAATGCCTCCTTTTTATCTGTTTAATTTTTTTATTTATATGTATAATATTCACAAATTATTTAAAAAATTGTTATATCAATGGTGTAATCAAAATAGTGCTTTCTATTCTATGCGTCAATATGACTAACTTTTACTACAGATCTATCTTCCAAATCACAACAAAAATCAGGTCTTCCATACATTTTGACCAAGTTTGTACGAAATTTTGTATGGAACAACTGACTTTGAGATATTTTTTATAGGATTAGGGTGACAAACGAGCACTCAGTCCACCTGCTGGTAAGTGGTTGCTGTGGCTCATAGACATATACATCTATTCTCGGGTAAGAATCAAAATGCAGATGCGTTGCAACCCCTGAGGACTAAGATGGAATGCCTCGTTTCCAGTAAAAAGGGTCTCCGGTTCTCTACACTCACCATAGGAAACACAGTAGCGTTAAGCTGCTATTTTACACTGGTATTCTGTGAGGAGCGTGGTTCTTCCCCGGTCGAGCCGACCCATTCGTGCTACAACTATACCAGTAATATAGCTGCATGAAGATGATCTCATAATAAAAAATATTCATGTTGACGGGCAGAATCATTCCCTAAGTTATTAAGTACTATTTTGTTACACCTTTAGTTAGTATATAAGACCGGGGAAAAAGTTTCTTCTTATATTGTATACAAATTCAAGATGTTTTTATTTTAAAATTTTTATTACATTAATTATAATAAATTCCATTCTGTTCGATAATTTGTTGCCATCTTGTAGGTAGTGACATAAAAAAAATAAACGTTGCTGTAGAAATCTTAGGATTTTGATAAAAAAATGCAACAAGTAGTTTTATTTGATAT